TCACCCATTATCTCTAAATAGGCCCTGTTTCTCTATATTTTGTTTCTGTCCTTTATAACTTCTTTTCCTTTCTTTCTTCCCTCTCATCTTCTCCCTCCTCTTTTTATCCCCTTGTCTCTCTACTTCTAATTCTCTCTTCTGCATTTCCCTCTTCTGTTGCTTTCTGATTTTATACTTATTTTTCACTCTATTTTTTTGGGGGGAGTTGTTTTTCCCAATCGTAAACTTTCCATTCTCTTTCCCCCCTTTCCTTTTCCCCCCCACCTAAGATTACTTGTTCATTAAAGATGTCTTCTTCTTTGTCGCAATCTTCTTGTTCAGCAGGCATTTCTTGTTGTTTCTCATAATTCCAAATCTCCATTTCTAAAAACTGAAATATGAAGCCAAAAGAACCTTTCCCTTCTTGTGCATCTTCTTTGTACTTTTTAAGATCCATTCTCAGTTCTTCGAAAAGTGGAGCCATTTTAAACAGTTTTAAACAACCAACCAATTGATTTTAGTCATTCAAATACAATAATCCAAAATCCAGAAATCATCAAGTAATCCAAATAGTCCCAAGTTATTTCTTCTTATTTCTTTTTCCACTTTCTCTTCCTGGGGGTTTTGTTGTGATATTTCAGCTAAAAATGTATCTTTTGGAAGTCTTGTTGAGATTTTGCTGTAAGTTCTTTTTAATTCCAGGCAGTCTCCTCCCTTCCAGATCCTGCCCTTTTATTCTTTTTCTCTTCTTTCCTGTTTTCAAAAGTTTTTGATTATCCAGAAATCTTTATTATCCCTTTGACTTTTTATTTTCAGCATTAAATGCCTATTAATGTCAAAGTGGATTTTTTCCAATTTCTTGCTTAAGTCTGTTAGCTGTCAGTATAGGAAAAGGAGAAAAAAAAACCAAATCTTTTCCCTTTTCTCTCTCCTTCGCAGCTTAAAAATCTTCTTAGGGAACTATGTTATTTTTTTTTAATAGTTTCAATTCCAGGGTACCTTATTTGTTGCTTTTGCTGATTGACATGGTCAACCAAAACTTTCTCTTCTTATCTTCCTCCTGCACATTCTTTTCCAGTCGAGTTCTTCTTTGTGGTGGCCATTTCTGACCACCGCTACAACTGCCTTTGGGGAAGGGAGTAATGGCCAGCTGGGGAGGAGAGATGCGGCTCTCCTCAACCCTGCAGGCAGTCTCCTCCCTCTTCACCACCTCTATGAGGTGGCTTAGCTCCGAAACCAGCCGGCTCAGGGTGCTCCAGCGGCGAGCACGGATCGAAGCCTTGCAGAGGCAAGGTTTCGGTCTGTCGCCGAAGAAGCTCAAACCAGAAGTCCCCCCATGCCGCCACATTCTTGAGCTTTGGAAAATGGGAATGGGGATTTCATGGAGTGTATGTGGCTAGATATAATAGCATTCTTCTTTACAATCAAGGTCATGTTATTCCTGCACCTGGCTGAGGAGTGGTTGAGGGGATATTTCAAGTTGGGATGGATGGTGATTGGGGCATGTGATGGAATGATGGGTGCAGGGGGTAGATTTGTAATTTTTTACTTATTGGAGGGAAACCCGGACATTTCAGATTCATTTCCCAGATGTGCCAGTTTACTGCTCTAATAAAAAGAAACTTTGAGAACATGTCTGTTGGCTTGGAGTTGAAGTTTTCTGGAACGCTGACAGTTGAATTTTAATCTGGGAGCTGTACTTCTAAAAATTGCATGGGAATTTGAAGGCCATCTCATTGCCTAGTTATATTTTTCCTGGAATTATAACCAATCAAAGGAAGCTATTGGAATTTTTTTGGGCCATCAAAGAAGTTTTTCAGCATTGGCATCATCTCCTTCAAGATGGTTAATTTTAAAAAGATTTGACTGGGCCACAAAAATTTGGAACCCCTTTCAAATGTCCTTATGCTCACATAGAACTAGATAAGCAGGGCACATTTTTTTCTTGCTTTGACTTTTGCATCTCTAGGATCGATAGGGATCTAGCTTTCAGAGCAACTAGATTGATGCTTTATCATATAAGTCAAACTATTTCTTATCTTATGACCTCCTGTAATTCCAGCCTTGCTTTGTAGGATTTCTGGGGCTAGAAGGGACATTCATTTCTTAACTGAGGAAATCCAGGGTCAGCCACCCATATGTGAAAACTTGGAATAGATGGCACCAGAGTGATCTTTTGTTTTCTCCATCTTCATTTTCCTGGAAACCAAGTGAATTGTGCCACAATGTTATACATTCCTGGTTTCTTAAGAGAGAAGAGGTGTCACAGCCTTATCACAACAGCCATTCACCCAAGCATTTGGGAGTATTAAAAACTAAGCAATCCATAATATCCATAATATGTGATAGTTCCTTGCTAAGAAACATATTAAAAAGTATTTTGTTACATGCAATGCCAAGCTTCTGACCAGCCAGACATCCGGATTGCTGTCTGTCTGTCTTTCCATCCCTTCACTATATTCCTTTGGATATAGTCTTTGGACTTTATAATTGACCTATCATGCCAAAGGCCTGGATGTCATTCTGGTAGCACTTAATTTCTTTTGCAAGATTGATTGCCCAGCCCAAGTGTGAAGCCAGACACCACTTGTGACAGAAATTGATTGATTGATTTACCTTTTAACTGATCATGAGCACCTTTATCTTATCTAGATTAAATATCAATTTGTTGTCTTTTATGCAGGGCATGATTGATTCCAAGCAGGTTTTTAGGGTTTGAAAATCTTCCTTGAACTTCATCCCATGATAATTTTAAGCACAAGGGGATATACTGTGAATTATCTTGATTCTAAGTTTATCCATAAGGAAAAAAGGCAAATCTAATATACCAAATTATCAAGGCTAAGTCTATCATATATTTAACAGACCTGCTGTCCAGATTGCTTAGTCACTACAATTAGTTCTATGAATAAATATTAAATTACAAGAACAACAGTGTAGTATTACGTTTACAAAAATGCAATGATTCTAGATGATAAAAAACTCACCAATCCACAATGCACCAGTATCAGGAAAGGAAAATATTTGTAGCTCAGGGTTGAAATGAAGGGTCTTTGGTGCTGTCTGATCTTGGTTATTTTCCTGCAGACATTTCATTATCCAGACTAGGTCACATCATCAGTAACACTAGTTTGGGTAATGAGACCTCTGCAAGAAAACAACCAAGCTCAGACAGCACCAAGAACACTTCAATGCAACAGTAATAGGAGCTCCACATGTTGGTCAAATATATTCATTTTTCCTTCCTGTATATGGCAGAGATTTGAATAGATGGTTGTAGCTTCCATCTTGGCTTTTTAAATCCTCTTAACACAAACTCATCCTATACTGCAGGATGTAGGATCATCTCCTTTTAGGACCTATATTAGTACTGAGTAGATTATATGGTACAATGGGCTGCATTAATACACCACAATCCCTAAAACCTAAACTGGTCCTCCTTATTTTGGCATAGACTCCCAAGCTTTGTTATATGAAGTTTTTGTTTAATGTCATAGTATGCCACACTTAATTCTACATAGCTCTCTGGATCAATTTATGATACCTGAAGAGAACTCTGTTAGCAGCATATTCTGTTCTAGAGCTGTAAGTGACAGATAGCAATGAAGAATACTGCATGATGCTAAACAATATTAAAAATAATCAAATAAGTGAACACACACACACACAAACATTAATGTAGACTACAGCTTTGGGCAAATAAATTTAAAAGATAGCTTTTTTCGGCAGATTGAATTTTCTTACAAAAGCAATTAAAATATATTCTGATGTGATCTTTTCAGCAGGGATTTTTGCTTCAGTAAAATATTTTTCATTTTTATCATGTTTATCCTCCAACTCTCCTTGTAGTTCCAAATCCATGTTGTATTTTGTATAGCTTCAACTGAGCTGTCAATTTAATTGTTAATTAGTATCTTATTTTCTTAATAAAATAATGCACAGTAGCATAATATGTCTTCCTTGTCCTGGTTAACCATTGTCTTGCTTCCTATTCAAATATGGCTATATGAAAACATGAACAGTTATCTTCACATATTCTTTTCATGAATGAGGAATTGTGCTGGCTAAATTACAAAACCCGAATAATTCAGAAAATTACTATCCTCAGCAGCTTTTTCAGCTTTGAACATTGCGATAATCCAACTTTAATTCAATCTACAGAATAATGGCATGGTTTCTCTTCATCTTGCCCTTTAAACTGGTTCTAGTCAAAATTATCTCTAGAAATTTCAAATCATTATATTTAGGTAGTTTCTAAACCCAAAACTAGGATAATGCTTGTCTCTTTAACTTCACGGGTTTCTTGCATCATAAATGTTTGAAATGTACCCTCACAAATCAGAAATGTTTTCTAATTTGCTTACCTTCTCTAAATTGTGTTTGACTCAATGTTTGTATAACCTAAAGACTATGGTTAAGCTATAATGTCAAAAAACAATGAATGCAGGCAACAAATCCCATCTAAAGTTAAAATGATCCTCTTAATGTTCTTGAAGAAATCCAGCATACATAACACATTGGAAAAAATGATCTTTTCAGAAAAAAAAGCAGAGTGCCTTCAATAATTGTAGTTAGCAACAATGAAAAAAATGATATTAAAAAGACCCCAAAATGACCTTTACAAATTATGATTAGGAAATATGAATTGCATGTATTTGTGCTTGTTTTGCTGATTATTGAGCCTTGGAATGACAGGCATAGGAAAAGGATATCTAAATAAGAAAGTTAGCCATTAACTTTTGTATGATATTTCTTTCGTTGGTCAACATTATGGGCAGGTATATGCTTTTCAATGACTCATCATTTCTTTCCTGGAATCTCTCTTGGTTATTAAAGAAGGAGCCTGAAAAATCAATTCAGAGCCATCAAGTCAATCTAGTCACCTTGCCCAACCTATGATGTTTAAGACAAGGTTATCTATCAGACTACAGGTAGACCTTGACTTACAACTTTTCATTTAGTGATTGTACAAAGTTACTGCATCCCTGAAAAAAGTGACTTATGACTGTTTTTCACACTGTTGCAGCATCCCCATGGTCATGTGATCAGAATTCAGATGCCTGGCCACTGACTCATATTTGTGACGGTTGCAGGGGTCATGTAATCACCTATGTCAGTGGCCCCCAACCTTTTTTGAACCAGGAACCGGTTTTATGATTATTTATTCTTCCACGGACCGGTACCTTCTACTACTAGTCCCTAAAGCTGCGCGGAGCTGCTTTAGCCGGGCTTCTCTCTCCCTTCTCAGTCTCTCTCACCTTTCTCAGTGACCTGTCGCCCTTCTTCTTTCCAGCCTTGGGCAAAAAAAAAAAAAAAGACTTGGCACAGCCGGCTAGAAAGCATGCCCGAATTCCTTGCAGCTTCCCGCCTCCGCCTGCGAGGAAGTGGGCGGCGGGGGGGGCGAGGGGTGCAAGTGTGGGCCGGGAAGCAGGACTGGTCAGGGAATGACCTTCCCCGGGAAAGTAGGAGGCGCAGCCGCCGCCACAACTGCTGCTGCTTCTTTGCGCTCTGGCGACGGACGCCGTGGCGCTCCTTCAGCGCCTGTGCTCAATCTGTTCCTCCGGTCGTGGTGCAGGAGCAACAGCAACAGCTTTATCTGCGCGCGTGCATGTGCGTGGTTGATGGGGGAGATGGAGAAGGAGAGGAAAAGGGAGACTAGCGCTGGGCATATCATAGCGCTCTTTTCTCCCTCTCTCCCCCTCGCGGCACCCAAGCTTTGCAGCCCAGTAAAAAATGATCCACGGACCGGTACCGGTCTGGGGACCGGTGGTTGGGGACCCCTGACCTATGTGACTTTCTGGCAAGCAAAGTCAATGGGGAAGCCAGATTTACTTAACAACCATGCTACTAACTTAACAATGGTTCTGATTCACTTCACAACAATGGCAAGAGAGGTTGTAAAGTTGAGGAAAACTCACTTAACAGAAGTCTCATTTAGCAACAGAAATCTAGGGCTCAATTGTGGTTGAAGTTGAAGACTACATGTCCTTGCTTGGTGTAGAATTTGTCCACTTTTAGAGATGGGTGTGCAGAAAGGTCCCTGTATATGAACTTTCTCTTCCATAGCATTCCTCCAATGGAGTCAGCTGCCCATTTAGAAATATGTTACAATATTAATAAATGAATTAGTATATTAATAATTAGAAATATTTATTTGGCAAGGTCCTCCAGAGATATTTCTGGGCCTTTCAACAGCCCCTCCACTATACTCCCTTACTAGCATTTGGAAATAATGTTTTTCTAGATTCCTGGAATTGGGGTTTACGGGCATATGCACATGAAGCCAGTTATCTTCACCTGGTCTGTTATCTTCACCAGCTATCTTTACCTACTCAGTAGGTAAAGAATCTGACAAATGAGAAATATACCAATGTCCATCATTCAGGAAGCTCAGGAGCACCAAGATCAAGAGCTCTAGTAAGCAGCTATTATTAGGGACCTGACTTTTGTAGGAGCCATCTTTGAACTTTCATCTTTCAACCAACTTTCAAGAATTTGAACCACTGTAGCACCATGAATCTGAAAATGCATGATTTTGATGAATCTAGAGATGTCAGTTTTGAAAAAAAGAAAGAAAACTTATTGAGAAAATTTATTCAAAAAGAAGCATTTAAATGTCCTTTTTCTACTAGCTGTAATTTTTTTATGGGTCAAAGAAGTAGGACGGAATGTATACTAAAGAGATTGTTAGGAAATACTCTGAGCTGTTTATCCCTGAATTTTCTCTCTTGTATCATTAAGGAGACCGGTTTTAGCTCCTGCCCACTTTAAGATAAGCTTTTAGAAATGGAGATGGTACAAGTGGACTTCTGAGAACATACAGTAGAATAGCTTCTCTCCTCAAATGCCAGTCATGATGGATATAGCCTGATTTAAAACATCATGTATAATTGTGCTATTTCTCTACGTAGCCCCAGCTCATTTACCCAGGGAAGATGGGCTACTTTTGAACAAAGCAGTAGCTGATAATTATTTACCCCTTTTATTTTCTAAGTATGTTTAGGTGGAAAATGGATTCTTAGAATTTTCAAAGATGCAAAAAGTTGGTACTTCACTGCATTCCAACTTTTCACTGACCATTAACTTTTAAAATTATCAAACCTGGAAGGCACTGGGGTGGGGTGAGGGTGGGGTTAATGTCCATGTTCAAATGTAGGATAGAAAAAACTTCATGTCTTTATTTCTGGAGCTGTTAGGTTGCTAGCTTTTTCTAGATTGTAAATGATGTTGTAATTCAAAAGGCTAGGCTAATCATTGTGGCAGTATAAAAATAATGCAGGCTTCCTTAAAAGTATTGTACTACTTTAATAGGATATCAATATAACCAGTGAAAAACAGGCTTTATATTATAATAGCTTTACAGGGAAAATACATTATATGGTCTGCAAGCCATAAAGATGTTATGCTTCTAACAGCCCTCTTGTAATAGCTGTGTACTACTGTATCTTCCCACTATGTTAAATAATAATCTGCAATGCCAAGCCATAAGATGGAGGATAATTGGATAATACTAACAGCATTATAAACAACCTTGTGAAAGTTTCTTCTGTACCAAACCAAAATGAAAACCAACCCAAAAAAAGGGGTGGGTGTGTCTATGCTAGCCTTAGGAACAAGAACAACCTTTTAGTTATACAATTTGGGATGAACACTCTTGGAATGTAGAAATGGATTTCCAGAGGGGAAAAAAATAGTAGACTATAGGGACCAGGTCCACTACTCAGATGACCCTGAGGACACAGATAAACCTCCAAGTGCTTCCAAAGACCCTCTAAAAGGATGCAAATGACCAGCTGTATGTGCAAGGAGTATAAATCCTTCCATTCCCCACTGATGGGCTGTCTGCTAAAATAAAGCAAGGTCATACACACACTTGAAAGAAAATCAGGAAGCCTGTAATTGTGGAGTCTGTCTGGCAAGAACAAAGAATTCTTATCAACAGGAAATATGCATATGTAAATCTTGTAACAATCCTGGCTAATTAGAAAGCTGATAAAAGAGTTAGACAACTTGCAGACCTCAGCTAAAAGTTAGGAATAGAGATGGCCTGCAGCAAACCAAATGTGTATTAGATAATTCCTAGGGCATTCATTAGCCAAGACTTGGGAATGGGGACAGATAGAGACCAATAGAACAAATTGTAGAATTATTACTAAAATGTTTATTAGATGATATTTCTTATTATCTCGCTTTATCCCACCTTCTCCTTTAGTATAAAACTTACTCAATCCTTTGTTCTTGACTCTTGGCAATTTGACCAGGAGCCCTTTCCTTGGAGTACTCCAATAAAAAACAATCAGAAAGCCTGCACCTCATGTCTGGCTTCCATCATTGGCTTGGCACCAGACTCAGACCCAAATTGGGAACAACACCACTGTCTTGAAGAAGGTTCTTGGATGAGAAGTGAAACGTCTTCAAAGAAAGAACAAGAAAGTCCAGCTGCCTCTTGAAAAAGCACCTTCAGGACAATCATAACCTGGATGACTGAGAATCAGAGAATCAGAGATTTTAGGATCATGAAGAATTTATCCATGACCCTACAATGTGGAACAGATTGAGATATCCCTTTTATGACATATTTGAAAGGAAGTAGACCATCTACCAATGATTTTAATCCTGAATTATTTATGTATTCATTCATACCATTTAATAGGGGGCCATCTTTCAACCAATTCTGGCCAGCTCCCAATCGAAAATTAAAAGTCCTATAAAAATCATTTAAAAATCTATAAAACCAAACCAGCTAAAACATTTTAAAAAAGGAAAAATCTGGCAGCAATCATCATCAAATCTTCTTCCCTCAATGGGAGAGACATTAAAGATGTTATATCTTCAGAGAAAGATTTTCACGATAGTCTTCTTTAAACTCTCCTAAAAAGATAGCTAGTAGTATAAATTACTCAGCACTTTTGGTACCAGAATCTCTCTGTCGGGAGTCGGGACAGCCCATTTTAATGTCTTTTAATTAATTATTAAATTATTATTTTTTTACTACATAGAAAAAAGCTATAGTGCTTTGTATTTATTCACATAGAGTTGAACTGCTTTATTAACCAGGGATGATATCAACTTGAACAAGTCTATCTGCCTCTTGTTCAGGAATGCCTGACCATTAAAGCGATGGGAAGATGCCGGTACCAAGTTCCTTAGGATTGATTTTAGTAAAAGAGGAATGTGAGTGATGAGGTAAAAATCTTAGCCCATCTTCTAACCATTAGCTGAGCTGCCTCACTGTGGCTATTGAAGATGTATGATGTTGCTTTTAATGATTGGTTTATAATGATGTATGTTTCCAGGTTTAGTTCATAGCAATGTCTGCTTTTAAAAATGGAATAATAGGAGGTCCACTCCAAGCTGGAGTGTGCCCATTTGGACCTTGCTTCCGGGTTACTTTTTTATTTGCAAATAAATTTCTATTTTTTGTTGTTCCATGTATTTGGTGTGAGTTATTGGGCTTACATACCAGTAAAAAAAACAACGAGCATTCTGAGACAACATCTCCAGAACAGAGAAAAGAATGAAATACTGGAATAAACTGATGTGCTGTTAAACAGTATAGGAGAAATAAAAAGCTCTCTCCCTCTCCCTCTCCCTCTCCCTCTCCCCCTCCCCTCTCCCTCCTTCTCCCTCTCCTTCTCCCTCTCCTTCTCCTTTCCCTCCCCCTACCTCTCCTTCTCCCTCTCCCTTTCCCTCTCCCTCTCCTCTCCCTTTCCCCCTTCTCCTCTCTCTCCCTTTCCCTCCGTCCTCTCCCTCTTTCTCTCCCCTCCCCTCCCTCTGCCTTTTCTCTGTTTCCCTTCCCTCTTCCCCTCCCTTCCCTTTTCCTTCCCTCTCCCTCCCTCTCCCTCTTTTTCTCCCCCTCCCTCTCCCTCTCCCTCTATCTCTCCCTCCGTCTCTCTCTGTTTATATATTACTCAAGCCCTTTAAATATATAGATTTTTTTTTAAAAAAACTGAGTTTTATTAAAGTTTAAATAAACAGACTGTGAAGTGTTAAGGTTTTTATATTTGTTGGCTGCCTAGAGCTGTTTGTTAGTGAGTATCATATGCATTTGAAAAATAAATGCCAACAGGTTTAGGAAAGGAACATTCTGGTGTTCATTTAAACATCCTGGGAAACTTTACAGCCGTTTTAAAGCAAGAAAGAACAAAATTGCAGTATTACTACTTGCAAGCTAACAGAACAAAAAGCTTTGCAGTACTGTGGGCAGAGAAAGGAAAAAGAAGGGGAGCAAGCCTCATCTGCCCTTGGTAGAAACTGAAAGGTGCTCACTAGAACAGCACCCCCCCCCCACAACCTTTGGACACCAGGGATTGGTTCCGTGGAGAGAGGTTTTTCTGAGAACTGGAGGGGATATGGTTTTGCATGCTGCCTACATCCTGTGGATAGGACTTTGCTTGTTTTTGGCATGCCACGGCCCGGTGCCGGTCCATGAATCAGGGGCTGAGGACCCCTGGACTAGAAGATGCAAAGGTTGAATGGAGCATGAACTTCTAGGACCAAGGAGAGTTCATTGACTAGTGGGCCCTTGCTGGATCAATAGCAAGACCATAAAACAAATAGCAACTGCCAATCAGCAGAGAACATAGACACTCAGCAATTGAGGACAAACAGCTGCATAGGGCAGGGATCAAGAAGCATCATAGGTACTGCAGACAACTGAAGGTGACCCTGCTCCTGGAATGGAAAAAAAATCTGGAATAAATCCTTTGCTTTGATGGATTTAAGAGGGATTAAATTGGAAAACTGAAGCTTTGAATGCAAGCTGGAAAACCCAGGCCAGAGGTACATTTGAAAAGGCTGGATGTGGAAGGGAGATAATATCATTCATTCCTACATTCAGGAACATTGAGCGGCTTGTACTAGCAATGGGCCAAGCAGAAAGTATGGATCTGCTCTTGGCTAACTAAATATATGAGGAACTTGTGATTCTTTTTCCTTCACCTGTTAAAGAAGAAAGCAAATTTTGATACCAGAAGGATTTCTAGAAGGCCAACTCATATCAGGATGATTTGACAGGTAATTGTTTCAGTACTTGTTTAGCACAAGGCTGAATGATGCATTAAATTTTTCATTGGCTACATCTGAGCATATTTTACATAGAGACAGATGACCTACAAAAGAGAAGGAGAATGGATCTATTGTGGGTGGATTTACCAGAAGAACAGAGTATCTTTATCATCTGCCTGGCATATCTTACTGATTCTGCCAACAAGTGGAAAGCTTAGTTTAAAGCTGGATGATTGTATGAAAGTGAAGTTGCTTTACCAATGTAAACTGCGCAGTGATGCAAAAAAAATTGCAGAGCCTGGAGGAAAAATCATGCCATATTTGATAAGCAATTTCAATACATTATATACTGAGAATTCAGCAATTGCTTCTGAAAGCATGAAGATAGAGAAAATCCTTCTTTTAAAAATGGATGCTGATGTTCAACAAAAGAATATTAACTTTCCAGAATTTTTCTATTGACACAGATTGGAATATTAATATAATCTTCTGGTTTAAACATTGTTAAATTATATGTTTTATTTTTCAGTTGTGAATCACCTAGACTTTGATACAGGATAGATGCCTATGTAAATATTATGAATGAATGAATGAATTCAATCTATGATCTTTCTTTCCTGAAACTAGGACCAAGTTACATTTTTGGATCAAAAATGCAGGCACAAAAAGAACTCCTATATGTTGTGTCTGCAAAAAAATATTGCGTACATGAAACTAAATCAGAAATACCTTTGTTGGTAATAGATTTGTCTGATATGTAAGTTCTTGGTGCTATTCTCCTGCATTTTTAGAAATGTATTTAAAAGAAAAAAAGGAACCGTAGAAGAAAAATTATATACAACAGATTATATGCAGTTTATAATGAAGGCACAACGACATATGGGCCAGTTAACATTCTTATGAGTAGACATGGAATATTTTGACTTCTAAGAAATGAAGCACAATTGTACTAAAAATGCTTTTTCAAGAGGCAACTGGACTTTATTTTTCTTTGAAAATATTTTGCTTCTCATCCAAGAAGCTTCTTCTGAAGAAGCTGATTGGACAAGATGTAAAATATCTTCAAAGCAAACAAAGAAAGTCCAGTTGCCTCTTGAAAAAGCACATTTGGGACAACCATGACCTGGATGACTGAGAATCTCCATAGACACAATTGCACTACTTTTGACACAATATATTTCAGCTTGTACTGGTAGGAAAATAATCCTTCCTGGCATTTCAAGGAAAAGCAATGGATGTAATTTTTATTTGTATACCATAATCCTGTTAACCTGGTTATTATGTATTGCTGAAGAATTTCTGCCCTTAATGTCTTACACTCATTTATGTTGAAATAGCCCCATTGCTCAGCTATTGAAAACCTACACAACTGGCTGGTTAAGGATAGAGAAGAAAAACATAATTAGCCTACACTATGTTATCAACAGCTCAAAACATAACTCGGCAGGTGCAGAGAAATAGCAGGTTGCATGCTGCCTAGCTGTGATTGCTTTGACATTCATGAATATAAATTTACTTACACGTACATTAGAAGCAAGATCTATTTCTCATACCAGTTGACTCAAATTGGGGGAAAATGGGGCCTATTCTCAAGTATGACCAAAAAAAGCAACCTATATCAACAACATTATCAAATGCAGAAATAAGGTTCTACAAGGGACAATATGCTTATGTAATGCTATACCAAAGATAGAGCAACAGAGTTGTTATTTCTGATGGTGTCAGTAATTTACAAATCTATCATCTATCTATCTATCTATCTATCTATCTATCTATCTATCTATCTATCTATCATCTATCTATCTATAAATGGATCTGCGTGTGTGTGTGTGTGTGTGTGTTTGTATGTGTGTGTGTGTGTGTGTGTGTGTATGTTCCAGCATAACTCTGAAATGCCTCAAGCAATTTCAATTAAATGTGGTAGAGAGATGAC